CACTCCTTGCCTGACCACAGAGGGTGCTCAGACCCCAGCCAGGATTTGAGCACCGTCGTCCCCATTTAGCAATAGATAGGGAAACGGGCCCAGGACAGGAGGGCTGAGGGGTGGGATTGGGATGTTAGCCCAAGGTGAGACGGGTGGCTGTCACAGGCCCCCTCAGAAGGGAGGCCAGTGGGTCTGGAAGGGTCTGGAAGGAAGGCAGACAGTGGGCGCTGCCCAGGACAGATCCGCCCCCTGGGGCAGTGGGTGGCCGCCCCTGGCAGACCCACCTGCTCCCTGTGGACTCCTGACAACAGCAGACCCCAGTGGCTGGACATCCTCCCATCAGGTGCCGGAGGGGGTCTGGGGATGTCTGCTGAGTAGGGGGATGACAGGACAGTGGGTCAAGGCCAAGGCCAAGGCCATGTGTCCAGCATGGGGCTGACTACTGTGGTGCTTGCCCATAGGGCAGGGAAGAGGCTGGGACTTAGGGTCTCCAGGAACATGTATCCTGGGGAGACGGCAGCGGGAGAGGGCGGGGGGGGGGGGGGGGGAGGGGGGGGGGGGCGGGGGGGGAGGGGGGTGGGGGGACAGCAGGCCTCTGAAGTCACTTGGAGGTTTCTGGAGGCTGGGGGGAGGCCAATGCAAATGAGGGCTGAAGCTGTTTTCCCAGGGAAATGGCCATTTGCATGGTCACCCCCCTTCCGCCTGGAGCTTGGGGGGCAGCCAGGGCTCTGGACATATTCCTTAAAGGCCACTGAACACACGCGTACTCTCTGTGCTTCTCGTCTGTCCAACCCAGACCATCTCGGCCGTGAAAATCGGTCCACCTCTGTTTATCTGGGCCTTTTATGTCCTTTAATGGGCTTTAAAATTTTTCTGCCTAAAAAGTTTTATGCGTCCTCAATTAGGTTAATCTCTGACCTAAAACCCGTTTCTCTGTCCTCCTGGTGGAGATGTCTTATTTTCGGGCCGGCGTGTGGGAGCGCTGTTGACTTTTGGGCCCAGATCTTGAGTCAGTGACCGCAGTCTCCACGGTGCCGTCAGCGGGTGCCCGTGGCTCTCCTTGGTTCCCTGCATTAGTGCTCCTGTCTGTGAACCTGTTCGAGGTGGCCTGGGGGGGTAGGGCCCCTGGCCTGTCACTCGTGGTGTCATTTTTCCCACTCGCCTGCTGAAGCTGGAGTCCTGCAGGCCTCGCTGGGTGACCAGAGCCCGTGGGCCTGGGTTGCTCCGCACCTGTCCCCTCCTGCCTTTGGTGTGAGTGTGGCAGCCCCTCCCCTCTCCCGCCCGCCCACAGTTCGGGAGAATGGACAGAGAGGCCTGCGTTCGGCCTCAGGCATCCCCAGGGGCCAGGGGCCAAGGATGGTGTCCTCATCCAAAGGGGCCTCTGGGCTGCTGGCCAGTGTCATGGGCGGCTTCTGTGAAGTCCAAGTTTGGCCTGGGAAAGGGGTTTTGCCACATCCTGTGCAGAGGAGAGGTGCAAGATCTGAATGAAACAGTGGTGAAGGTCGTCTCTGGCCATCTGGTCCCCGAGAGTGGCTTCAAGCCTCGGCCGCTTTGTCCCCCCAAGCACTTTCTAGAGCGCTGTTGGACATCTTTGCCCTGCAGATGGTCTCCGCGTCCCTCGCTGGTTTCGACTGGCCGAGCTCTAGCGGTGTGCACCTGGGACAGAGCCTGTGTTGGGCACACAGAGGCCACTGGGGACCCTCCCAGCTCCTGCCCGAGGGTCTGGGGGCTGCTCCAACCCAGTGACTGTCGACGCCTTGCCTGCAGGTGTGCTCCGCAGGTGTGGCCCTGCCCTGGCGCTGAGGGACCTGGCAGACCTGACCTCGGCCGCAGGCGAAGGTGTTGCCTGACAGGTGCAGGTGCCAAGGCGGGGCCCTTTGTGCAGCTGTGTGCCGTGCGCCTGTCGCCCCCAGCCGGCCCCTGCTGCACGTCAGACTCCCTCTGGGTCAGTGGAAAGCTCCTCTCCGTCTTCCTCTTGGGAAACTGAAACACCGTCTCTATTGACAGAAATTCTGGGCATTTCTGCTCTGTTTCTTTTCTTTTTTTTTTTTTTTTTTTTGGTACCAGGGATTAAACCCGGGGGTGTTTAACCACCGAGCCACATCCCCAGCCCCTTTTCACCTTTTTGTTTTGAGACAGGGTCTCCCTAAGTTGCTTAGGGCCTCGCTGAGTTGCTGAGGCTGGCTTTGCACTTGTGATCCTCCTGCCCCGGCCTCCTGAGCAGCCTGGCTGACTGGTGTGCACCCCCACCCCGGCCGGGGGGGTGGAGGGGACTGTTGTGTTTCTCCAGTCCTCAAGGCCTAAGACACGCCACACCCTGAGCCTGTCCGTGGCGCTGATGTCACCACGTGCTCCCCTCTCCTGGGCTGCTTGTGTTGGGTGCCTGTTGAGATTCACTGTCTAGATCAGTCCTGAGACACCCAGAGGGTCCCAAACTTAGGGCTCTGCTCTGACCCCTGCCCAGTGAGTGCTGCTGTTCCAGCTTCTCCCTTCCCCATGTCGCCCAGAGCAAGGAGGGAGCACTCTTTGTGTTTGGCCTCAGGCATCCCAGGGGTCCAGGGGTCCAGTTGCCCTGTGCATGGAGTCTGCAGTCTGAGGAACATCAATCCATCTGGCATAGGGGGCAGGAGACTAGAGCTCTATCCCTTCTTAGCTGAGTCATGAACTCTGTGTGTGTGTGTGTATGTGGTATGTGTGTGTGTGTGGTGTGTGTGTGTGTATGTGGTATATGTATGTGGTGTATGTGTGTGTATATATGTGTGTGTGTATGTGGTATGTGTGTGTATATATGTGTGTGTGTGTGTGTGTCTTACTGGGGATTGAACCCAGGGTGCTCTGTTCTTGAGTTACATCCTCAGCCCTTTCTTATTTTGAGATGATCTTGCTAAATTGCTGAGGCTGGCCTCAAACTTGTGATCCTCCTGCCTCAGCCTCCCAAATTTCTGGGGTTAAAGGTGTGCACCACCACACCCTGCTCTGAGTCATGAACTTTTCCAATCTCCGGTTCTTCTTTGAACCAAAAAATCAAAGGAGAGAGTGGGAAGGTGCTCTGTGAGCTCTCTAGGGCCAGCAGATGTGAGGAATTAATTTATTAATTTATTATTTTTGTTATTGTAAGAAAATAACAGGATGAGCATCTGCAGTCTGAGAATTTGAGATCCAGAATGCTCCAAAACTCAACCCTTGGGCACCAGTGTGACTCCACAAGTTGGCACACACAAGCTTTGCCCCATGAACAACATTTTGTGTAAAATTAACTTCAGCCTGTGTGCATAAGGTATACATGAGAAATGAACCAATTTCTTGATTTGCCTTGGGTGCTAGCTCCAAGATACCTCATTACATATATGCAAATATTCCAAATCTGAAAGAAAAAAAAAATCCCAAATCTGAAACATTTTGGCCCTGCGCATTTTGGATAAAGTTTGATCTGCAGGAAGGTCATGGGGGGTACCAGCTCCTCAGAGTGCTTGAAAGGGATTCCTTTACTCCCTCCTCCCAACAGCCCAGGGAGCGCCACTCAAGCACCCCACCCAGTACTGCAATTTTTGTCTTGGGCACAGAGGGGCTGACAGTGACTGTCACTCTTGCAGCTGCTCCACGAGGCCGTTGGCTCTGCTTTCTCTACCTCCTGTTCCGCTCTCCTGGGCTGGCTGCTGCAGCGCCAGCCCTCGCTCCTATGTTCAAGCAGCAGAGCCCGGAGCTGCCCTGGCTGGGTCTGCTCCCTTTCTTTCAAGCCCTACCTCCCACTTCTCAGTGGCCAGGCTGGGTCACAGGGTCAGCACTGGCTACAAGGGACGGATGCTGCAGAGGGAGGCCCTGCAGGGTTGTGGTGGCCTGGGGGAGTGCGTGTGCAGGCCACTCGGGGGAGTGGGAGTGCTTGAGCAGGCCAAGGGCTGAAGAGCAGCCCCGCCAGGGGAGCTGGGAGGAGGTTGTGAAACTGCGTGTGAGGATGGTTTAGAGAAGGCCTGGAGCTGTGCGCCGTGGTACACGCCTGTTATCCCAGCGGCTCAGGAGGCTGAGGCAGGAGGATCACGAGTTCAATATCAGCCTCAGCAAAGACGAGGCACTGAGCAACTCAGAGGACCCAGTAGTGGAAGAAAAGGCCCGGAAGCCGGGGCAGGGTCCCTGCGAGGTGGGAGTGTCATCTACTCCTCGTTCATTTGCTTTTATTGCTCAGAGAAACAGCAGACTTCAAAAAATAGGTGTCCATCCCAACAGAGTGACAGCAGGTGCCTGGGTTTTCCAGCTGTGGGAGCTGCTGGGGGAGGCTGGTGGTGACCTTAGCAGATCAGAAGGGTAGGGGGAGGAGGCCTGGGAGGGAGTCCAGCAGGGGCAGAAAGGCAGGACCCTTTTCCTCCCCTGTCGTGAGGACCACAGCCTGCGCCCTCCTAACAGAAGTCCGGTCAGCAGGAGGACAGCGTGTATCCGTCTAATCAAGGTTGAGACAAATGACAAAGGACCTTCAGACATGAAGACCCAAGCCCCAGGGAGGGCTGGCACTGCAGCTCCCGGGCACTTACCTGACATGCCTGTGCCTAGGCCCAACCCCCAGCACCCAAAGCGAAAGTCAAAGCCAGGAACCCACAGGAAACTCCATGTTTACGCATGGGCCTGTGGTGGACAGCCGGGCAGAGCAGGGGTGGACACAGGGTCCAGTCTCTGTGCTCTCATGGCAGCCGATCCAGGAGACCTAGGGGCTCTGCGTGGCAGTCCTTCCTAGCAGACATAAGGTCTTTAGGGGACAGAGCCACCTTCCCAGGTCTTAGGGCTGCTTTGGGGGAGGGCGTTCTGATTTCCATGACCCGCTTTGGAAAAGGAACTCAAGTTCCTGTGGCTCTCTAGGGGGCAGGAGGAGGCAGGAGGCCAGATACTAGGCCTCCGCCGCTCCCCCGAGGCTCCAGGCCTGGGGCTCAAAGCACTCAGTAGGCCAGAGTGCCTGCCTTGGGACCTGGGGCTCCGAGCCCTCGCAGTTCTAGGGGTCAGTGACACTCCGTCTCCTTCCCCAGAGAAGAGATGTCAGAGGCAAGACCCGTCTCCAGGAGCCTCCTCCGGTACAGACCCGGACCCCTGCTGGCTGCAGGTGCTTCCTGCATGACCCCTCCCACGGGAGAGGAGGTCCTCCGTCTCGGGGGACGCCTGCACCTCATGGTTCAGGGCAGGTAGGTCCCAAGGGCCCACTGGTCGGTGACCTTTGGGGATGGGTTGGCAGAGCAGGGACCCTCTGCAGAGGGCCTCCAGGCAGGCTCCAGAGAGGACGCTCCCTAGGTAGTGAGTGATGCCTCCGCACCCCGCCGCCACTGAGGTCCCCTGGGCTCATCCCCACCCACAGAAGGACCCTGTGGCACCCAGCATGTTCCAGGTCCCACGGTGGACTGTGGCGCTGGCCAGGAGGCCTGCTGGACCTGCCAGCCACCCCAGGGTGCCCCAGCCGAGCGGCCCCCAGCCCTGGCAGTTAGGGCAGTGATTTGTTAAGGAACCACTGAGGCTGGAAGAGGGGCACTCCTGGGACTGACACGGCCCCCAGGGTCTCAGCACCAGCCTTGCCAGCCCAGCTGGGTCCAGCGTCCGCATCTGCCAGGCTCATGGGCTCCCCCAGCAGGGGGCGCTGCAGCCTTACCTCCCGGGAACTGATGCGGCACTGAGGCTCAGCCCTCAGTCACCTCCCCCAAGCTGGAGGACAGCCACTGCCAGCGCACAGGCAGGAGTTCAGCTCCAGGGTTCTGGGTGTTTCCTCTTGCTCCAAGGTTCTTATTAGTCCTCAAGATCCTGAACTTAGGGATCCTGCTACTCAGATGCATCACGTTGGCAGGACAGAAGTGGGAGCTCGCCCTCCAGGAGAATAGACAGGTCATCAGGAGGTGCAGGTGGCCAGGGTTAGGGGGATCTGCCTGGGACTTCCAGGCAGAGCTCCTGAGTCACCAGGGTGGGATGTGGGCCAAGCCTGGGGAGAAGGGTGCACCCGGAAGGGGTCTGGTTTTTAGTCTGAGCTGTGCACATGCATGACGCAGGCTTGCACCTGCCTGCACTATTTCAGTCAGGAATTTGGTTTAGAGAGTGGAGGGCCCAGGCAGGGGACTATTAGCTCCTTCATTTTGAAAGGGACAATGGTATAGGGGTGGTTTCAGCATTGGGGACCAGGGGAGAGGTCTCTGAGCCCCTAGTCAAAGGAGGAGGGTAAGTTGAAGTCCCTGTGGGAAGCCAGCCTCAGCAATTGAGGGGGTCTCAAGGCACCCCCAAACCTGTCCACCCATGCTGGCCACTGTTACTCACCAAAGCCCGTGAGCTGCGCCCTGCTGGGGCTTTCCGGGGACACTCAGGGTGGGTACTGACATTCTGGGTGTTCAGCATTCTTGGGTGCCGGAGGTTTCCTGCAGACGGCGCAGGGTTGGAGGGCGGGAGCAGGCCCCCCTGGGCACCCCACTTACTGACACTGGCCACCCACCCCTGGAGGTGGGTTTTAAAATGGTGTGACTTCAGAGTCTGCCTGTAGATGGAGGGACACAGGAAAGTTTGCTGCTGGTCCCAAATCTGACCCCTGCTCTTGCCTGGCTCTGGGCTACTCCAGTACCACACCCTGCCCACCTGTTCCCTCTCCACAGTAACCAGGTGGCCCTGCGACTGGCCTGCATTGGGGATGAGATGGATCTGTGTTTTCGGGGCCTCCAACTGGCCCAGCTGCCTGGGATGGCCATGCACAGGTAAGCAGCCCATGTCTTGCCCAGGACTTCAGCTGAGGAGGGACCCTGGACAGGCAGGTAGAGGCCCAGAACCTAACACACAGCTGGACCCCAAGTTCTGGAAGGAAATGGCCTTGACACCTCCCAAGTAGACCCCAAACCCTCTGCTTCCCCGCCTGCCCAGGGGCCCCTGCCTCTCCCAGCCTGGCAGAGCACCACGCAGAACCCCGCCCCCCGTTGGTCTTCATCCAGAGTCCTGAGTTGCGGGGCAGGGCAGGCTACGTGTGCACCCAGGCCTGGCTCCTCGGCCGGGTCCCTGGGGAGGACAAGTGGGGCAGTAACTGGCCGAGGGCCTGCAGGGCCCAGGTTTGGGTTCCCTGCGGCCAGCTGAGCAGAGCACTGGCCGGAAGGTGGGAGGAACTAGGAGATCTGAACAAACCTATGAACCAGAAATAGCTGTGGGGAGACGGACACTGTCCTTCATAGGGGTACCAGGGGAAGTCCGGGTGTCCGTGGGGTGGGGAGGGGACAGGCCCTCCACAGGGGCGGAGTCCCTGAAGCCTGCTCCGCTCCCCGTGTCTTACAGCCTTGCCCTCAGCTACAGCCAGGCGAGAGTCACGGGTGTGCTCAGAAGCTTGACCCAGGGTCTCGCCAGCCTGAGGGAGAACATGTGGTTCTGGAGACCCGCGGCCCCCAGCACCCGGGTAAGAGCCAAGAGGCTGCAGGCGCAGCTGGCCCCCTGCCCGTGGGAGTGGCCTGGAGCCCCCTGGACGCACCCCTGGTGTGCTGCAGGCGCCCCCTCCCTGTGGCCTTAGGTTTCACCTGTTTCCACGCCTCCCCGGGCCCAGCAGCCCCAGGAACCTTGGGCCCAGCTGACAGAACTGTGCTCCTGCCCCTCTGCCAGGAGAGCTGTCCTCTGGCAGATGCTGCCCCATCTCTGCCCCGACTCAGGGCCACTTCCTTGCTCCCCTGTCCCTGCTGAACACCTGCCCTGTCTGATCTCACCCTGTCCTAGTCGCCCCGTTTCTGAGGTGAGGTCCCCTACCTTCTTGGGCCCTCACTGTCCTCTCTCGGTCCCCAGGTGCCTCCTGCCCAGGCCTGCCGGGAGCTGCTGCCCGTGCTGCTGCTGCTGGGCCTGTTGCTGAGCAGGGCCCTGTACCTGCGGCTCCAGTGAGGCCTGCGCGGGGCGGGGCTGGCCCTCGCCCTTTGAACCCATCCTGGAGGTGGCCGGCTCCTGGGGGTTCTGTCCTTTGGACAGTGGTGTTTCCTGATGAGATTTCCTTTTTTATATTTAAACTCAAGATAGTGCTGGGACACTGCTGAGGTTTTGTACTAGAGTTTCTGTTGTTTTTGTAAGAAATGAACTTACCAGACCTCTGGGGTGGTTACCAGTTAACTGCCCATTTGGAGACCTGGCTGGCCTGCTCTCCTCCTGACCCTGGCCCTCTCGGGGGGCAGCCTGTCCCTGAGGAAGCCTTCCTCTCATGCAGGCTGGTGTATGGTAGGCAGCGGGGGGAGTGCTGGTCACACCCCTGTCTGTGATGACCAAGCGGAATCTATTGGCCTAGATTTCTGAAGGGTAGAGGAGACAGAGTTCAATAAAACGTTGGTTTCCAGCCAGTTTCTGGTCTTTCTGGTCCTGTCTGGGGCTCTGTGGCAGCATCATGGGCCCCTCTTTCCCTGGAGGCTGAGCTTGGTGGCAGGAGGAGGGGTGGCCTTACCCTTGCCTCCTCCATGTACCTGAGGACCCCACTGCTGTCTCAGGTGCTCAGAATTTGTCCCCCTCCCTAGTGGTGCCTGAGATGCACAGTTGGGATCATTCTGGGGGCTCTCCAGGTCTCACAGTGGGGATGTCGGTCATCTCTCCACCCGTGTCCACTTCCTGGGGGTGCTGCAGCCAGCAGGGCTCTGTGGGCAAGTAGGGCCTGGGCCAAGGGTTGGGGGCGGCTTCCCACTATTTGGACTAGGAACCTGCCATAGTCCCTGGTCCAGGCTCTACCAGGGTCCCCTCCCACTAACATTCCCAGGCTGCACTGAGCCAGACCGCGGCCCTCCAGGGCCCTGCTCTCCAGCAGTGCTCCCAGACACCCTCCTCCACTCCGGGCCCCTTCTGTCCCCTCCTGCCCAGGCCTGGAGTGCCTCCCTGCACACCCCTGCAAGCCCATCCAAGAGAAGCCCCTGACGGCCCCACCAACCCCCACCTGCTGTGTGGAGCCTCCTCTGCAGAGCCTCAGAACTTCCCCACATGAGCCCTGTTCCCCAGATCCCTGCACCTGCACCGCAGCATCTGCCTCCAGTTCCAGCCAGGGCACGCCTGTCCCCGCAAGGGTAGACACTTGGCAGTGCGCCCGGGACTCGCCCAGTGTGGATGTGGACACCCAGGGAATGGGAACCCGCTGGAGTCCGCATGGCTAGGCCATGGAAGGCCAGCCCCCGACCACCGCCCCGCACTGGCTTCCTCCTGAACGTGAGGGACTTGGCTGGGGCGCCTGCGCCTTTTCCCTGAGGAGCCAGGAGCTCTTCCAAGGAGACTGGAAGCTGCTTTTGCTGAAGGCGGTGGCCCTGGCTGCTTCTCTGTGCAGGAATTGGGGACACTGACCTTGCCCGAGGGATTTGCAGGCGGTTCCAGGCTGGGGTGCTGTTGTGCCAGGCCCTCACAGGTTCTGGGGGGTGTGGTGCAGACAGTGACCTGCTTCAGATCTAAATAAAATGTACATGTAAATAAGCCACAAAGGGGACTATGGCTGTGGCTCAGGGGCGGAGCGTTTGCCTAGCACACGTGAGGCACTGGGTTCCATTCTCAGCACCACATAAAAATAAAGAGGGCTGGGGATGTGGCTCAAGTGGTAGCGCGCTCGCCTGGCATGCGTGCGGCCCGGGTTCGATCCTCAGCACCACATACAAACAAAGATGTTGTGTCCGCCCATAACTAAAAAATAAATATTAAAATTCTCTCTCTTTTCTCTCTCCCTCTCTCTTAAATAAATAAATAAATAAATAAATAAAGACATTCTGTGCATCTACAACTACAAAAAAAAAAAAAAGCCACTAAAGGCTTCAGGGACATGAAGGAGACAAGGGAGATGCCTGCAGGGATGAGTGGGACCATGAAGGTAAGAGCTGGCGCTGGAGAGACAGTGGCACAGGGTGACTGATGGAGGAGACCCGCTGTAGGGTCCATCCTTCTCAGTGTGGCCATGACTTCTCCAGG